GGAGAATCCCTTGAACGGGGAGGCAGAGGTTGCAGTGAACTGAGACTGTGCCATTGCACTCCAGCCTGGGTGACAGAGTGAAACTCCATCACAAAACAAAACACCCCAGTAAACAAAAAACTCACAACAAACTGCAAGTCAGCCAAAGTCCTTATTTAATGGAGAGCGAATCTGAGACTCAGAGACGCTAAGGCACTTGCTCGAGGTCACACAGCCAGTGAAGGGTAAAGCAGAGATACAAGCTCAGGTCAACAGACACCAACAACTTATGATTTTAGTGGTCACACCACACTGCCTCTCCGCTGGGGCCTGGGCCATCTCTGCTGGGGCCAGGGGAGGGAGCAAGGAGAGGTCAGGCACGTGAGTTTTATGTTGCCTGCTGCTCTGTGACTGGAACAACATATCTAAGAGGCCTCCAGACAGCCAAGAGCACTGCGGCGACCTCACTCCCTTGGGCTCGCTCCCCTCCTCCTGTAATTGAGATGTCAACCTTCTGGGTCATTCCCTCCCATCCTGGACACCTGACATTGCAGGGATCTCAATGGAGACAGCTGATCTCACCCTGCTCCTCCCGAGCCTCCTCCATCATGAAGACATAAACCTGGTGTGTCAGACACATAAGTGAGCACCCTCTCACTACCCGCCTTTTCTCCTCCTTCCTCTCCCCTTTTCTCTCTTCTCCCCTCTGCCCTCTCCCTCCCTCTTCTTCTCTCCCTCTCTACCCCTTCTTTCTCCTTTCTCTGCCTCCTGCATGCTCTGAGATGAAAGGGCCAGTTAATCATGCTGCCACCACTTCTGCAGGGCTGTGTGCTTGCTTGTCCACAGGCGCAGGCATCCCTACTGGGACTGCCTAAGGGGTCCCATGGCTAATTGGTCAAAGAGCCCATTTGTTCGTTCTTCCAAAGCCTAGATACTGCAAAAGAGGCTTTCTCAAGCTAAGCCAAGATTTCCACCCTGATGCACCAATCACTGGGAGACCACTGGGGTTACTGGTCACCCAGACCTGTAGTTTCTACCCTGACACGTGAGCTTGGAGGCTGAGCATCCCTGCCCCTAATCACACACATCTCCTTTAGCACCATAAACAGCGGAGTGCCTGAGGGCATTTGATTAATGTGCTGCAGGCTTACATATTTATGCATACTATATTTATTCATTGAACCAATGTTTACTGAGCACTTACTATGTGCCAGACACTGTTATAGGCACTGGGGATATAGCAGTGAACAAAGCAGTTCAAATCCTGCTCTCGTGAAGTTGAGATTTCAATGGGGAGAGACGGATGGCAAACAGACAAATATATTGCTGTCATGTGGTAACAAATGTTGTTGAAGTCAGAGTAGACGGCTGCAGATTACAGAGCACAGCAGTTTTAGGTAAAGGACGATCCTTTGGGTCTGTTACTCTGGGGAAGATATGTTACATATCTGCTTCCTTTATGCAACTGACATGTTCCAGAAAAGTTAAATATTGATGAGAGTTTTTTCATATTAAATCATATTTCAAATCAAACATAGAACAAGCCTTGCAAATTAACATGCAGCAAATCTCTGAACCTCAGTTTCCTCATAAGAAAAATGGGTTTGAGAATTCTGACCCCAGCTAGTTTAGGCTGTTGAGGGAGATTCATGGGATGAAATTTTTATTTGTGGATGTACTTTGTAGCCTACAAAGCACTTTATTACATCAAAATAATGTTATCATTGGTAAAGTGAAGACGTAGTTAGCAAAGTAAATTACCACCTCCAAATAGAAACTCTGTGATAATCCAATTTTCACAAATTTAGTTGGCTAAAACGAAGATTACGCTGGCATATTTTCCAAATCTGGGCAGGCAGGGATGGCATCTTAGCAAGCCTTCTGAGGCTTGGGAAGCACTCTGTGGCTAGCCCTGGCTATGACCTGCTGTCAGCACTAAAGAGTATCCTGACCCCAGCCTATCTTCACCTTGATCTATCTGAAATAAGAGCATGAAAACGAAAGAAAACCCCCACCAGCCTTCTTAGGTGCAGCTCCTTGCACCTTGGAATAGTCTCCATCCAAAACATTTGGGGCGTTATCGGCCTGACAGACATGGAGGCGGGGTTCCTCACGCAAGGCAGAAGCTGCTTGCTACATGGATTTCTCTCCTTGTAAAACAACATTCTGAGGCAAAGTGGAATAATTTTCACTTGAAAGGGAATTCATTTTATTCAAATAACACCACCAAATAGCAAGATTGAGGGTGCGTATCTCCAGGAAAGGGCTGAACAGCAAGGGGATGCTTATCTGTGTCCCCACGCCCATGGGACTGCCTGCAGGTACAGTCATAGCTTAACTATAGGAATCTATGACAAGAACAATGGAGAGAGTGGTTTATAAATTATTTCTGTCACTGTTTATGGAGGATGAGATTAGAATCAGGGTGGGTGGTGGCAGGTTGCAAGATCAATGGCAAATGTGTCCTCACCAGACATTTCTTTCTTTCTTTCTTTCTTTCTTTCTTTCTTTCTTTCTTTCTTTCTTTCTTTCTTTCTTTCTTTCTTTTTTGAGACAGAGTCTTGTGCTGTCACCCAGGCTGGAGTGCAATGGTGTGGTCTCAGCCCACAGCAACCTCTGCCTCCTGGGTTCGAGGGATTCTCCTGCCTCACCCTCCTGAGTAGCTGGGATTACAGGCACCTGCCACCATGCCCAGCTCATTTTTGTATTTTTAGTAGAGACAAGGTTTTCCATGTTGGCCAGGCTGGTCTCAAACCCCTGACCTCAGGTGATCCGCCCACCTCAGCCTCCCAAAGTGTTCGGATTATAGGTATGAGCCACGGCGCCCAGCCCTCACCAGACATTTCAAAGACCTCAGAATATAGCTCTTCCTTTCAGAGACAGACCAGTAGCAATTCATCAATCAAGAGACTTTTACTCAGTGTCGACTCTGGGCAAATCCTATTAGGCAATATGGAAGAGACCCCGAAGCATTTCCAACATAAGCAAGGAGCTCTCATTTTAGTTGGAAAGAGAAGAGAGTCCTATGGATGAAAAGAAGGGCCCTAAAGAGGACGTGGGAGACGCTAAGGCACTTAAATTACATGAACCCATTTGATGATCATCACCAGAATGTAACATCATTCGTATTCCCATTATACGAATGAGAATACTGAGAACAGCGCGGTTAAGTGACTTGTTTATGGTCACAGAGCTGGTAAACGGCAATAAAGCACTCATTCTTAGTCTGACTCTCGTGGGGCCAGAATCCAAGTGAGGTTTTCATATTGATTTTGCCTTCCTGTTGATTTTGTCAGGGATAAGCATATGTTTTAGAAAAACAAAATGGCATTTGGCATGCTTCCCTTCACTCCATTCCTTAAGGAGGGCTGAGGCACCACTAGCTTTAGATTGAAGCTTTAATGTCCTCTTCTGTGGATAAGCAATAATTCTCATCTGGCCTTGTCCATGTGTGTTTCCACGGCCAGATCTCCTTTCCTTTCCTGGCTGATACTCCCTTCCCCCACTCACATCTTCCCACGTTCGCTTAGCTTCTTTCTCTCTTTCCCTTTCCTCATACACACAAATTCAGACACACACCTTCCCACCTCACACCCATATGCAAAATAAAATTAGAAATATCACCCGACTCACAAGGTATTTGGGGAATGGAGAGCTTCAGTCGGTATCCCAGACCCAAGCACCCCAGGCTCCCTCCCCGTCAAGCCCTTGTGAGAGGCAGACAGAGCTTGTGAAAAGGGGCCCAGAAAGCCGTGATTATGATCCAAAGCTGCTCTGAAGGGAAAAGGGCCATGTGTGCTTCCCCGTGTCTGTCCTGTGGCCACTGGAACTCACAAGGCTACCAGCTGCTCACGGCCACCATGTGGCATACTGTTCTTTCACTTATATGTAAGATCCTTTCAGAATGTGAAAAGGTTTCTAGGCCTCTTTTTTTATTTTGATGTACACTGATAGATTACAGAGAAAATAGTGTCTGGTGATTCAAGAATAGAGGCTGAGCTGATCAGCATATGGCCCTCATTTCAAGGGATTGTTCTTGTTTTAATCAGCCAGTTGAGAAAGCAATAAACAATTATTTATTGATTAAGTATGCCATCATCCAGAGAAGTGGAACAGGGCAGGTAGGTGAGCTATGACACCCAGGAAATTGAGGATAGTGATGGCACCAATACTCCTGCAGTGCTTGATATTTCTAAGGCTCTCTCTGCTCCCCCACTCCCCCACTGTTTGATGCACACTGGTGTCATTACCCTCTCAGTGCCTCATAGAACTCACCTTAGCAGAGTGGAGCCCTGGAAGGGAAAGGAAATAGAAATGGGAAGGTGGGGGTGGGGCTCCAAGCAGAAGCTTCGAGTTCAAGCTCTGTGTCTGGATAAACTCCCATTGTCTTTCTTTCTCCCAAATCAGAGCTGCCCCTGGGTCCCAGGACAATACTGGGTAGTGTGGAGGCTGAGAGTAGCAGCATTCATGCTAGAACCAGGTTCAGGTCCAGGCTCTGTCACTTCATGGCTGTATGACCTTAGACATGCGACTTAGCTTCTCTGAGCCTCAACCTCCTCATCCCCAGAATGGGGCTCAGCCAGCTTCACAGATCAGGCTGAGAGGATTAAGGAAGCATCTTATGCTAAAGGCTTAGCACATCTCCTGCTACCTAGTAGGGGCCAGATAAGTAGTGTCTCTAATTATGAACTAATCAAGCAGTGCTTGCCCTGGGCAGGCCCTGTTTAAGGGTTTTACATAGATTGTCATTTAACACTCACATCTCTATTTTACAGATAAGGAAACTAGAATCTAAAATCACACTGGAATTTACAGAGGAAGAAACCGGAATCTGGGAGCTCACAGTAGTGAATGGTGGATATTCGAACCCAGGTAGACAGGCTCCAGAGTCCCAACTCCCAACCCTCTGTACATAGCCCTTTCCAGGAGATGACGCTGATCTTCATGGGTGTTGCCCTGGCAAGCTGACCTCTCAAACCCCCAGGGTTCCCTTCAGTCCGAGGGGAGAGCAGGGAAGGTCGTGGGATACAGCCGAGAGGGAGAGGCAGGGTGATGTCTGGAGCATCTACATCAGGGCTGAATCCCAATCTCCCAGCTGGAACGGGCAGCTGAAACCAGGCAGGGAGCCCCAGCCCGCTCAAGGGGAACAGAGAGGGGAGGGGGGCAAATCCACGATGCTGAGACTGGCGGCCAGAGCACCGCCCCCAGGAGCGGAGGGAGGGGTGGCGGGGCTGGGGGGTGCCCAGCTGCCATCCCCGCCGCTTCCTGGCCCCTACTCGCTGGCGCCCAAGTGGGAAGCCAGCAGCTGCCGGTTCCCTCCTCCCCACATCCCCGCTACCTGCCCAGTTCCCGACGCGAAGCGCAGGCTGCGAGCCTGCCGGGCCGAGCCCACAACTTTGCAGCCTCGGGTAGGGCGAGAGCCGGCGTCTGGGGCTCCTCTTGTCTGCGACCAGAGCTCGGTGAGTTCATTTCCTCGCCCCTCTGCGGCGGCGGCAGTGCGGCGGCGGAGGCGCGGGGGGCGACTTCTCTTGCGTCCGGGAGGCAGTGGCCGAGAAGCCGGTGGCTGCCCGCGCGGCCGGTCTTTCCAGGGCTCCGGCTGTGCCGCCCTCCGCCGCGGGCGAGGTGGGCGCTAGTGCTGAACGGACAGTTCCCCGCGCCCCGGGGCCCGACGGGCGGCCCCCGCTTTCCCTTCTCCCGTGAAGGCCGGGGCTGAGGCAGCCGGCCGAGCGCCCCTCACTCCCCTCGCCCCTGTCCTTCGCCTTCCCAGCGCTGCGGCGCATCTGGCTGCTCCCGCGCCCCCCTGGCGACCGGCGCAGGGAAGACACTTGCTTAGCTGGAGCCCCAGGCCGAGGGCTCTCTGGGGTGGGCAGCGCCGCCGCAACCCCCGGCGGCGCAGGACTGGGGGCGGTGCCCAGCCTCCGGCGACCACCCTCAGGCGTGCCCTGCGCTGCGCCCCAGATGCAGAGAGGCCTGCCCTCTCCACGGGCTGCGGGTTCCCGGGGGGCGTTGGCACCTGCAAAAGGGATTCCAAGGTGACCAGTCGCCCGGTCCTGACGGGACAGCCTGGACGGAGGCCCCGTGGCATCCACCCGTCCTAGGCGCAACCGCCTTCCCAGAACTTTTCTCGCGCCTCCGGCTGGCAGATTCCTTAGCCCCTGGAAAAGTTCTCTCCGGCGCACGGAATCCTATTTCTCGGTGGCTTCCGAGGCTGGCCAGGAACCCCGGCTGTGAGGAGTGGGGTGGGGTGGGAACGCGGTGAGGGCTGAGCAAAGCAGCGGGGTCGATCCCAGGAAAGGCTAGCCAAGCATCCACTCGTGCGCACAGGGCTGGCTTGTCAGCATGGAAAGGATTTCGGCGCCATGAGGGTTGTTTGGGTTTCTCCCACCAGGAGGGTGGGAGGCAGGCGCGAAGGAGGGATTTCAATTTCGCCTCAAATGAAAACCCTCTTTGCAAAGAAATAGCCCGGGCAGCCAGCGTTGGAGAGATGTGCTGGCCAGGACCCGCTGACACAGGCATTCTGGCTGCACCCCCACCCCACCCGGTGCCCGAGAGCGACAGTGAATGTATCGATTGTTTTAATTGATTTTTTTAAAGCTAGGTGGCAGAGGCTGCGTGTCTGCACACGCAGATATATACATACACAAATACAGATACTCAAGCGCGCAGATTACACGTACAGAGTCACGCACAAGGACACACACACACACACACACACACACACACACACACATCGTGGGCCCGCACGCACACATACCTCCAAAGAGCCTTGGATAACCGGTGAGGTCCCTGAGTGCTGCCCGAGATGTGTGTGTGGATGGGGGCGCACCGGAGGAGAAAGGGGAGTGTGAAGCAGGACTTCCAGCAGGTCAAATGCCTCTGATTTCTCTGCCCCGGACCCCAAATCCTTCCCTTTCTCCTCCTGGGGAGGTCTGAACCAGAAATCCCAAACCTGGGCTTGTTTCTACAGCCACAGAGGGGAGGAGCCCTATCCCCCAGTTCCCCCAACCCTCACAACTCCCGTAGACTGCAAACGAACCCTGCCCTCCTGTGCCTGACTCTGCCTCGCCAAGGCGCCGAGCTGGCTCAAAACCCCAGGCAGCAGTCATTCCCAGATAGGGCCTGGACCCGAGGCCGCTGCGGGCTCGAGGCCTCTGGCCTGCCTGGTCCGGGGTTGGGGAACTGGGTAGGGGAAATCCGCGGGGTAGGGGTTGGGGGCGCGGAGTCGCGTGCAGCGACCCAGACGCGCGGCGCGGATGAGCGCGCAAGGGCGCCCCCTGGACGCCGCAGTCAGCCAGACCTCTTCTCACCCCGGGCCCCGCAGGAATGTAATCGAGGATGCTGGCCCTGCGGCTGCTCAACGTCGTGGCCCCCGCCTACTTCTTGTGCATCTCCCTGGTGACCTTCGTGCTGCAGCTCTTCCTCTTCCTGCCCAGCATGCGGGAGGACCCCGCGGCCGCCCGGCTCTTCTCGCCCGCCCTGCTCCACGGGGCGCTCTTCCTATTCCTCTCGGCCAACGCCCTGGGCAATTACGTCCTGGTCATCCAGAACTCCCCGGACGACCTCGGCGCCTGCCAGGGGGCCTCGGCCACGAAGGCTCCGTGCCCCTCACCTAGCACCCACTTCTGCCGAGTGTGCGCCAGAGTCACCCTGAGGCACGACCATCACTGTTTCTTCACCGGCAACTGCATCGGCAGCAGGAACATGCGCAACTTCGTCCTGTTCTGCCTCTATACCTCCCTGGCCTGCCTCTACTCCATGGTGGCCGGCGTGGCCTACATCTCCGCGGTCCTTTCCATCTCCTTCGCCCACCCCCTGGCCTTCCTCACGCTCCTGCCCACCTCCATCAGCCAGTTCTTCTCCGGTGAGTGGGTCTTGGCAGGCAGGTTGGGCTCTACACAAAGACCTCCCACCCCAAAGGTTGCCGGACCCCAAACCCCAACCCCAAAAGTTGCTAGATTTAGCAAATAAAAATACAGACCACTCCGCTAAATTAAAATTTCAGATTAACAACTCACAATTTTTTGGTATAATTATGTTTCAGATATTGCATGAGACACACTGAGAAAATCTGCTATTGGCTATCTGAAATGCAAATTAAATGGACATGCTGTATTTTATTGGCAACGTCCCCCCTTGCCCCCATCATCCTCATCCATCATGCTGTCCATGTGCTATAAAGCTGTGGCATCCAGGCAATACACCTTGCCAGGCAGGGCTGGGTGCTGGCCCTTCCTCCATGTGGCCCTGTGAGGTTCAACCATGCTATGACCTTCCTCTGCCTGGACCTTAGTCCTGCTCACATGTCACCCAAGGACTCTGCTCTCCAGAGGTCTCACCAACCAATTGCAGTAATATTGAACTTGTTGCCAGCCCAGCCCAGCGGAGGTAAGCCCTGTCCTCCTGCCGATTATGTTTGCTCTCACCAGCCTGTTCTCCAGCCTGCTGATGGCTCAGAGCAGAGGGAGCTTGGGAGAAGCAGGGATTTTTTTTTTTTTTTTTTGAGACAGAATCTCACTCCATCACCCAGGCTGTAGTACAGTGGTGCTATCTCTGCTTATTGCAATCTCCACCTCCCGAGTTCAAGCAGTTCTCTTGCCTCAGCCTCCTGAGTAGCTAGGATTACAGGCATGTGCCACCACACCCAGCTAATTTTTGTATTTTCAGTATAGACGGGGTTTTATCATGTTGGTCAGGCTGGTCTTGAACTCCTGACCTCAAGTGATCTGCCTGCCTTGGCCTCTCAAAGTGCTGGGATTACAGGCGTCAGCTGCCATGCCTGGACAAGGACTGCACTTTAGTATGCACCAAGGACCACTTCCTGATACCTGGCCCTAGAAGGACTTGGCTCCTGGTGGCAGTTCTTACTTTATTTGGCCTTGATACTGGCTCTTACTAAGTTTCTTCCACTTCCTCCCTATCCTGACCTTTGACTCTGAATGGCTTAGTTTCCACAATAGGTAGTGTCCATGTGCTTGTGCGTCCATGGATGGCAATGTTATCTCCATTTCTCAGATGATGAAACTGAAACTCAGATGGGATTAAGTGGCTTGTCCAGTGTCTTCCTACTACTGAGTAGAGTCTCTGGTCTGCCTCTCAGGTCCTTAATCCACAGTCTGGTGCTCCTCCGCAGTAGCTCAGAAAATAGAGCATGCGTCCTCACCTGTTGGCCTTCTAGGAGCAAAGAAAGATAGGGGGCAGCTATTTCCACTGGACGCCCAAAATTGTTTTGAGGTGCCTGGGCTGAACATTCATAAAAGTTCTGCTCTACCCTGGGGGAAGCCATCATTTCAGTGTTTGTGGTGACTACAGCCCAGTTCTTCCCAGGCGTAGAACTATCTTGCCATTTGGCAGTGGGAACACAGAGGTACAGGGGGAGACCTAGCTATGGGGGCTGCCTTCAGTGCTGGCGGCTGAGCTGGGTCCAGAACTCACAGCTTTCAGGCCTTCTGGATCCCAGCATTGGCACAGGAGGCTGCCGGGACCAAAATAACCAGGACGGGGGAAGGTGGGTGGGTGGGCTAGGGGGTGGAGTGTGAGCACAGACAGGTGGAGGGATGCGGAGAGCCAACAAGCCTGCTTCTACTTTCTTTTCCAAGTGTTTTGCCAACCGTAAAAATGGATGGTTCCAGAAGGAGGACCTTGAAATGGTTTGATTTGAGATAAATCTGGGCTTGAGGCCTGTCCATATGTGCTAGGTTTGATCTGATGGGAGAACAGAGCCAATGAGTACCCACCTTGGGGCCCAGACTCCTGTGCCAGCATAAGGATGAGTTCTAGTGTCTATTCCTTCCTCAGCATACCCACTGGGAAAAGGTGACCAAGACTCCTTACCTCCTACTCTCCCATGTCATCCCTGGTGACCTTTCATCTTTCCTCTAGACAACCCTCCCTCTCTCCCTCCCATGACATACACCCCACCTGTTCAGCTTTCCCTTTCCCATTCCTCTTCTTCCCTAACCCTCAATCCAAACAGTTGAGAGCACCTTCTCCCACCTGCTCAGGAGGACAGGTGGACAGGGAGGAATAAGAAGCATGGGTTGCTTAATACAAATTGAGTTTGAGATCAGCCTGGGCAAGATGGTGACACTCTGTTGCTACAAAAATAAGCAAATAAACAAATACAGTAGATGGGCATACTGGCACGTGCCTGTTGTTCCAGCTACTCGGGAGGCTGAAGCGAGAGGATTGCTTGAGCCCAGGAGTTTGAGGCTGCAGTGAGCTATCATCATGCCACTGCACTCTATCCAGCCTGGGCTACAGAGCAAGACCCTGTCTCAAAAAAAAAAAAAAAAAAAAAAAAAAAAAAAAAAAAAAAAAAGAAAGAAAGAAATTGAGCTGTCCCCAACTCTGGTACAGATGTGAGTCAGATCTATCACCAGAGCATGGATGGCTGTGAGTTTGGGCTTTGAGAACTAAAGGAGGGAGGGGTCTTCTAGTGTGTAGGTGAGGCCCTCAGCTGATCCAAAGTGGGAGGTGGCTAGCTAGTTAGCTTTCAGAAGCTGTCCTTTCTTTTGGTGTTGTGGGACCAGTACAGGTTGTTGTGTCACCTCTCTTAACCTTATTCTTATCTGGGAAATGGAGATGCCACCATCTGACCTGTATCTTGGCATTTGGGTAAGTACACCAGCATGGTGGGTGCTACCAGAAAGTCCAGTAGGAGGGAAAGGGGACTCATGTTCATTGAGCACCTATTATGTACCACCCACTATGCATGTCTTGTTTCACCTATTCCTCATGACGAGTCCATATTATCATATCCATTTTTAAGGCTCAGAAATCAAAGACTCAGTAAGGTTAAGTACACCAATGCCACACAGCTAGTATGATTCCAACCCAAGATTTAGAGTCGGGACTGCTACCCTCCAAAGCTCATAGCCTTTCCACTACACCACACTGCCTTTTAGGGGCTGCCTCTCTGAAGCTGTTTCTTGAATGAGCCACTTTGAGAGGGAGAGAGCTACCTGTCCTTGGATGTACTAAAAAATATGCTGGGTAATGATCTGTCAAAGGTGTTATAGATGCTTGTTGGGAGGAAGAGGCAAGGGAGATTGACTGATGTGTCCTTTTAGGCCCATTAGGAAAATTCTGTGATTTTTGAAAAGAAGCAGAACTATTATTAAATAGTCAAGAGGAGCTGAAGCAGCCAGGTCAGGCAACTTCAAACACTTTTAGAGAAAGCAGGTCCCCAGAATAGCCTTTTGTAGCTGCTGCATGGGGCCAAGAAAGGGCCTCAAGGTCTTTTTCTCATGCCTTGATTTAGTGCCAGGAAAAAACCCTGTGGGAAACGGCTTCCATCCGCCCAGGCTTGTTCCTGGGGCAGCATTCATTGCAAGACAGGCCTAAGCTTGACAGCTCTGATGTTCTTACATCCCAGCTCCAGGGCCATCTTTGCCTGTTAGCATTCCTCGCACCAAAGGGCACCATGGACCCAGGATCCTCCATCATGCACATGGCTGCCCAAGCTAATATGTGCCGACAAGGAAGAAGTGGGTCAGGGGATGGACAGCCCAATGTGTGCCCCGTCCCACTGCTGTCCCTGTGCTGGTGGAGGGGCTGCTCTAGATGGCAGCTGGGCCTATCTGTCTCCAACTTTGTAAAACAAACAAACAAACAAAAAATGGCTACCCAAGCTCCTAGGAATGAGGACAAGAGGAAGCTGCTAAAGAGAGAATCTGAATCAGATGCACATCCTCCCTGGCTGCTGAGTCCACCACTGCTCAGAATGGACAAAGTGTTGAAAGCCCAGTTCCCAGAGCTCTGGAAACTGGAGGCTGGAGAGGCTTGGGAAGAGTTCGGCTGGGGCAAGAGAAGGTTAGGGAAAGGGCAAAACATCGTTGAGATTTTCAGGGGCAGAATGGATTGTAAGGTGGGGTACTTAGAGCAGGTGCCCCCGCCCCACCAGAGGAGGTGACAGAGTTGCCCTACAGAGAGCCAAGGGCCAAGGAGGGCTTTTGAATTAACTCCAGGTCCAGTTGCCTGGTTGCTGGGTAGGTCAAGGTAAGTGTCCTTTGCCACAGCTGCCAAAGTACAGCCCAGCCAGGACTCTAAGCCCTGGAAAGAAGGAGAAAGCTTGATCGTTTCAGGAGTTAAACTTGAACTCATTTTGGATGTGGTCACCCACTCTGTAAAATGACCCTCTGCTGGGAGCACTGCACTGAGTGTGAACCAGGATGCTGACCACTCTGTACATCATTTTCTTGAATCATGCAGCCATATGAAATCGTTATTGTTATTATTGTTATACCCATTGTACAGATAAGCAAGCCGCAACTGAGAGGTTAAGACACTTGTGCAAGTCCACACAACTGGGAGACTCAAACCTTGCATGGACCAGACACCCAAACTCTGAGGAAGAGTGTGGAAGCTCTTACTCAGGGGTTATTTAAAACTAGTAATAGGAAGTGCTTGGTTTAGAGGGATTCTGGGGAGATCCTGCTGCATGACACAGGGCTGATGACTTTAGGGGCCTCTTCTAGCAAGTTTTGACTGACGGAACTAGCTCTGGTGGAATGCCATGGTGGCCATATTGTCCTCTTGTTAACATTAATGATGACTGAATTATTCTCTAAGTTGGTGCTCTGGGCTGCCCTTGAGACTAAGCTCATGACTTATTCTTCCCGGCTCTCCATCACACTGTCAGTTTCTGAGTCCTCTCAGCCAGCGCTCCCAGAACAGTAGGGAGAAGGTGCTGCTGTCTAGACAGCTGCCCAGGTACCCATTCCCTCTTAGGGTCCTCAGCTCACCCCTCTCTCCTCCTGAGCAAAACCCCTTCACCCTGCTTCCAGCCCAAAAGGAGAAAGCAGAGAGAGAGAATCATCCCTGACTTTACGGAAACATTATCAGCAGCTAGGTGCTGCCCCAGGAGCTGAGGGCTCTCTTTGCCAAGCTCATCAAACTAATCTCTCTTCTCGGCCACATCTCCAGTTTTCCCCTTTTGCCTCAGGTGCCATCCGCACCAAGAAAAAGGTAGGGCAGCGAGTTCTTCCTTCTCTCCCGCACTGCAGCTGCAGCAATGAAGTTGCTACAAAATGTAGTGCCAGTCTCATTAATCTCCCCCCTTCCCAGTGGAAAGCCTGCCTGGATCACAGTTCTGCAGGTGGCCTGGCTGTAAAGAGGCTCTGGTGTTTTCCCTCCCACTGCCCTGCAGGAGCTGTCCTGGGTTCTGAAATGTTCGTCATCCTCATGCTCTACCTCTGGTTCGCCATCGGCCTGGCCTGCGCCGGCTTCTGCTGCCACCAGCTGCTGTTGATCCTCCGCGGGCAGACCCGCCACCAGGTGCGGAAGGGGGTGGCAGTGAGGGCTCGTCCCTGGCGCAAGAACTTACAAGAGGTCTTCGGAAAGAGGTGGCTGCTGGGCCTGCTGGTTCCCATGTTCAATGTCGGAAGTGAGAGCTCCAAGCAGAAGGATAAGTAGCAGACACTCCCATCATTTATCTCCCTCTCTCTCTGTCTTGACTCCTCCTGAGCATAAAACCACAGCAGCCTTGTCTCCACCCATGACCCACTACAATTTGTGCTGGTAAGGTCCTAGCATTTTCCCCTCGTCTTCCACCCAGGAGAACAGCGTGGGCTGGTGGATCATGACAAGGAGGAAAATGTCCACCCAGGCATTGCTAGGCTCCTCACGAGCCAGCCAGGTGGCTGCTGACCATTAGGCTGCCTCTGCTGTCGTTCCTTCCCCTTGGGACCCCTACTTTCCCCTCTTTCTGGCTCATCCCTTCTCCGCCATGTTTCAGTCATCACTGCTGTCTGCTGGAGCCCTTCCTCTCAGCCCCCATGTTGGGAGAGGGGAGTGGATTCTTGCTGCTGGTATGAGACCTGGGACCTAGAGGCTGGCAAATATTTAAAATCACCACGTGTGGCCGGGCGCGGTGGCTCACGCCTGTAATCCCAGCACTTTGGGAGGCCGAGGCGGGTGGATCACGAGGTCAGGAGATCGAGACCATCCTAGTCAACATGGTGAAACCCCGTCTCTACTAAAAATACAAAAAATTAGCTGGGCATGGTGGCGCGTGCCTGTAATCCCAGCTACTCAGGAGGCTGAGGCAGGAGAGTTGCCTGAACCCAGCAGGCAGAGGTTGCGGTGAGCCGAGATCGCACCATTGCACTCCAGCCTGGGCAACAAGAGCGAAACTCCGTCTCAAAAAAAAAAACCAAAAAACAAAAAACAAAAAAAAAATCACCACTTGTAAGAGGCAGCCAAGTCAGCTCTGCCAACTGCTAGGGGAGTTGGGAAAGAGTGGGTGTGTGTCCGCATCCCCCCTGTAGGAAAAAGAATTCAGTGGTTTGCTGCCCCTGCCCCCACCATCCCAGGTTCAAGATCTTTTTTTCCGGGAGACAGCAGTCAATGGCCTGCTTTTTACAACTGCTACTCCCTGTCCACTTTTCCCCACCTGGCCAGCCCAGCCCAGCCCAGGGCCTGGCTGGATGCTTCCTCTCCCTGGAACTCTTCCAGCCTTTCTACTTGATCTCCAGCCCCCAGGTCTTTGCCAGATGCTGGGAAGGCAAGGAAGAAGGGAGAGGGAAGGAGAATTACTGATAAATGAAGGGGGCATTCAACTGTATAACCATATGGAAGGGTGTGAGAGTGTGTGTGTGTGTGTGTGTGTGTTGTGGGTGTATGTGTTTTGTGTGTGTGTGTGTGTGTGTGTGTGTGTGTGAGAGAGAGAGAGAGAGAGAGAGAAGGGTGGTGGTGAGATGTGTTGTTAGAAACATGTAGGAATAATGTCTAGGGGAAAGGGAGAAGTGAGAGGAACAACTGGGTTCATTAATGCCCTGTACAAAGGGCATTCCAGCAGCTGAAACTGTTCAATGTTTGAATGGCTGCCTGTCTGTGAAGGTAGTGAGTACCCCATCACTGAAGGTATTCCAGCAGAGTCTAGGCAGTTGTCTGCCAGGCATGCTGTGGAAGGGATTTCTACATAGGGTCATTCTAGGTGAGCTTACACATTCCTTCCAACCTCAAAGTTCTGGTGTCCTGGTTGTGATTGCTGGACCCAGAGGCAAGATATGCAGAGATGCCTGTGAGATATTTGCTTTCCTGGAGGGGAGTGTGGGCATGGAAGGCATCTGAAAATCAGAACCCAACAGCCATTGGAGAGAGTCTCTGCAGAGACGGGGCTACCTGGGTGGCTGAGGGGACTGGCATTTGAGAACAGGGAGATGGAGCAGTGTCAGTGTTGGTGACTGGAGGAAGAGGGGTGGGGTGGGCAGTGGTGAGTTAAGGCTGGGGAGAGGAGATGACCAGAATATAAGGGTGCAATTCCCAGACCATCCCTGTGCCTCTGACTGACTCCGGTGGAGGCACTGCTGTGTGTTCTGAAACAGAGGACCAGACCCCTGGGGCATATGAGGAAGTGGGGACAACACAAGCGCCTCCTCCTGACTGGGTCCCAAAGCCAATATGACATCCATGCGGGCAGCAGTGCTGCATCCACACCCTGCGATGTCCAACCGCTGACCTCAGCAACCCCGCTGAGAGTGGCACAACACCCTCCGTTCTTGAGCAGAACTTGGGAGGACTTGACCGTGGTTCTGCCTTCACGCCCCCTAGAGAGCTAATGTAGCACTGGCTTGACCTGCTCATACTTCTCCCTCCCATATTCATTCATCCATTCATCCATCCTACATATATTTATTGACTGCCAACTACATTCCCAGCCTCTTCCAGGCACTGGCAATGCAGTGGTGAACGGGATGACAAGATTCATGCCATCAGGGGCAACTTGCCACTGCTGTCTGAGCACTGATTCACACCCCCTGAAAAATGGTCACTCTGCCATCTTGGTGGTTGGTGGACAGGTCATTTGTAAAGAAAGGATGTGATAGAGATGCTGAAGAGGTGAAGCCTAGGCTGCCTCAATGGAGAAGTCACTGGGGGCATTTTCACTCCTAATTCTGGCCATACTTAAGCAACAGGAGGGAGACGGAGGAGGGGAAGGTCTAGGCAATTTAGGCCTTGACTCTTTCCTGACCCCAGAGCTCAAGCTTGGAGCCTTGCGAAGTCTCAGCACAGTGAGGCCTGAAGTCCTGGGGAAGGGCAACAGGGCGACCTCCGGGGTGTTGGCTGCTTGCAGACTGGTCAATGGGGTGACGGCGGGGAGGCTGCCAGATGTGAGACTTGAGTAGCATTTGTACACGTGGTCCCTGTATTGTCCATGAAGAACATCAATAAAATACATGGTTTTAAATTGGATTTGATATGACTGTGTGGGCACTGTTGGTAGCAAGGCTGGACTGCACTGATGCAGTCATACTAGCTGTTCAAATATTTAAAATAAGTATTGAAAATACTTCTTTCTTAGTAAATAACCCTGGCTCATATTCTCTGAGTAACCTACCCCTTCTGCCCCTGCTCCTCCCTGGGGACCCTTGACGTACCCCACAATCCAGCAACTAAAGTGATAATGCCTGGCACATGCATGGACCCCCACCCCCACCCCAGCCCTGCTGCAGCCCTCAGCCAGAGTCCACTGTGCTTTGTCAGGGCTGGGTTATGTGGTGGTAAATATGTATCACCTCTGGTTGGTAACAGGTCTCAGTGCTAGGGTCTATGGACCCACAGGGACCAGGGATGGAATCTTTTACCTAGGAACTTCCCTTTCCCTCCTTCTCCTTTCACTCTTTCTCCTCCTCTCCCTCCCCTCCCCATATCAGAAGACAGGCGAGGAAAAGAGTGCAGAGAGCACCTCTGCTCCTCCTCCACAGACAGAGCCAGCTGCTCCTAGGGATCAGCCAGGCCCCTCCCCCGCTCAGCCCCTGCAACATCTGGACGTCTTAGACTTCCCAGCCCTGGGGACAGTTGGGAGCGTGTTGAGCCCTGCAGGGAGTGGGCCCTGGGCAGGTGAATGGGCAAGGCCTCTGATTCATCCTAAAGACACACAGGCCTGGACTGAGGGAAGATACAACTTCAAAGAGCTGTCGCGGAACCCTCAGCCTAGCCCACTGTCATGATGGTGTACATTCCCTGAACACATGCCAACAGGCGACCAGCGGTGCCCCAGGAGCTGGGTGAATGGAGCTGTGGTGCATCCTCAGCACATTCTAGAGCACAGGCTGTCTATACGCCACAGGGTAGGCACTACACTTGCCTCGGTCACTGTCATATCCTTGACACCTAGCAGGGGCTAGGCACACAGTAGGTGCTCAAAGAATATTGCCTGAATGATGCAGATTTAGCGCTCATTTGCTTACTCCACATCTTATTCCTGTGATGGGCCCAGGACTGCGCTTTGCACACTGTGGGGCTGGAAAAGAGATGAGACCACTCTCTCTTTGAGGAGTTCCCATCCTGGGAGAGGTTTCTGGGAGTCCTCAGAGGAGAGAGCACATTCTGCTGTGAGGTCTGGGGCCTTTCCATGATACAGGGCCTGGAAAGATGGACGAGATTTCAGCAGGCAAGAGGGATACAGAGGGATTTCCAGGGATGGAGAACAGGCCTGGGGCCTTGGGGTATTGGGGATATCACGAAGAGGCAGAGGAGGTTAAGGCTGAGAGTAGGGACCCAAGCAGCCAGGGCTCTGAATGCCAACCTAAGGGACCTGGAGGGCATCTGGCAGGCAATAGGAAACCACTGAAGGTTTTGAGCAAAGGAGCAGCGTGATCAGAGGTAGATTTCAGAAAGCACAGCCTTGGAGGATAGACCAAGAGTAGGAGGAACTGGAGGCTGAGGGACCTGGCAAGAGGCATGTGCTGTATCTCAGTGAGATGTAACCAGGGTCTGGGTGGGAATAGTGGCTGTGGGATTGCAAGAGGGGAAGGATATCACAGGTGCTTCACAGACCCAGGTCACAAGTGGAGGAATGCTTGGGACAGGGCCAAGATGGCCCTGAAGGTTAGAACAGGGTGATTGTTAGGAGGATTGGGGTAGAAAAGATGGTGACACTAGTGCATCCCATGCACCAGCCTCTGCCATTGGCCCATCAGATGACAGTTGATAGTGTCATTCTTTTTTTTTTTTTTTTGAGACGGAGTTTCACTCTTGTTGCCCAGGCTGGAGTGCAATGGCGCGATCTCCACTCACTGCAACCCCCGCCTCCCGGGTTCAAGCGATTCTCCTGCCTCAGCCTCCCAAGTAGCTGGGATTACAGGCACACACCACCACAGCTGGCTAATTTTGTATTTTTTTTTTTTTTTTTTGAGACGGAGTTTCGCTCTTGTTACCCAGGCTGGAGTGCAATGGCGCGATCTCGGCTCACCGCAACCTCCGCCTCCTGGGTTCAGGCAATTCTCCTGCCTCAGTCTCCTGAGTAGCTGGGATTACAGGCACGTGCCACCATGCCCAGCTAATTTTTTTTTTTTTGTATTTTTAGTAGAGACGGGGTTTCACCATGTTGACCAGGATGGTCTCGATCTCTTGACCTCGTGATCCACCCGCCTCGGCCTCCCAAAGTGCTGGGATTACAGGCTTGAGCCACTGCACCCGGCCTCTAATTTTGTATTTTTAGTGGAGATGGGTTTTCTCCATGTTGGTCAGGCTGGTCTCGAACTCCCTACCTCAGGTGATCCGCCCTCCTCGGCCTCCCAAAGTGCTGGGATTACAGGCGTGAGCCACCGCGCCCAGCGTCACCAGTGTCATTCTTAACTAACCACTCTTCGTCTGTGGAGGAAGGGGTTCAGGGACACCTGCCAGTCATTCTTTACAGTGTGACTCCCAAGGTTGGAGTGGAATCATCTGTCAGGGGCAATAGAGGCCTACGTGTTAGAATGAGCTACTTGGCTCCCCAGTGTCTCAATCTTTCCATTCAGAAAGTGGGTACGCTGCTTTGGCCCATGCCCTAGTGTCAGATTAGGCAAGGCAGGAACTGCTTCACTCTAAGCTTCAGACACCCAGGGAGTTGTGGAAAGAGGACAAACTTGAGGAGTCGTCAACACAGGTCCCCTC